TTTTTTTCATTGAATTACAACAATGGTTTCAACTATTCATGATAAATAAGTCATAAATATTTCTATTTTATTCAATATTTAGTATTAGTCTGTAATTTTTTTTTAACACATGGTTTGGATGCTTGTGTTTCAGTTTTCAATGAGAAATAACTTTTCATTAATACCAACTATACTCAATTTTCCACAATGGTCTATAATAGGAGAGGGRTTAATGTAGAACYATCCCTACTAACTTGTTTCATTTATATTTTTCATCCCACCACCTTTTTTTCACAATGACAAATCATTCCTTTATTAATTGTAGTTTTAAACTAAATAGTTATACACGTTGTGGCTTTCATGTAAAAACATAATATTAATAATAAACGTACAGGTTATTGAAACATTTAAAACCGATTTATCCGATTTCAAATATTTGTAGTTTTAAGATTTAAAGTAATGTATAATATGCCAAATAAAAGAACGATGTTTCATATTTATTTAATGCGGTACCTATTAATTTTGTTCTATGAATCCTTGGTCACAACATCTAATCGAAACTCAAATTCATTCCATGCATATCAGTTGTAATCGATTCAGATATTTTTTACCTYCTATATGATTGATAATAATGAATGATGATAGTACATTACAAGGGTGTAATTAAGAGGGAATGAGAAGGATAGATCCCCCGAATCTTTTATAATATAGATATACAAATATTTAATATTTGTTTATTCATATATGGCTTGTGGGATTATTTGTTGATTTCATGACAAAATTTTTTTTGATATTTTGTGTATACATTAGTTTTAGGATTTTTGATAAAATAGTATTCCCAGCAACCACTCACTATTTTAATTGGCAATCTATAAAATATTGTGTGTAAAAATTTTACTTTGGTATCCATATAGTTGTAATATTGAGTAATAAAAAAATTAAAATATGCAAATGGTGTGGATCTAGAAATCTGAAATACCTAGTATAAGGGGGCAACTTTTTTCCAGATAAAATACAATTGCATATCATTTGAGTATAGTATAGAAGATTATAGATAAGATTATAAATCTTTTGAATTACTCTACTTTGTAATATCAAAATAGTTAAAAATATTTTAATATAATTTATTTGTCATAATAGTTTATGAAGATGATAGTAYAATATATTATTATACATGTATATTAAACTGATTGTAAAAGTTATCTAATCAGAGATGAATAAAGGGGGATAAGGAACAAGCCCTCCCAACGCCAAGACATATGAACACTTACTATTGGATACAACCATCGATTATAAATACTATAAATCTGTATTTATAAATATATTATTTGATACTTATATAAATTTAYTATAGTAAAATTGATTAAACACRCCTTTTGTCGTAGCAGGAATGGTTCCCGAAGCTATCCAAAATGAATGTGCACATTGCACTGAATTACAGAGAAAAGTGATTGAAAAAATGATGTGCTACCTAAATAATCATCAACCGGATATCTTAAAAGAAGTAGCTGCGAAATTTGACCCAAATGGAGAGTATATGAAGCAATATATTAATACCATAGAGCGGAATGGAAATGGAGGAAATGTACAGTTTTTGAATCCAAATTTACTCCAATATCAACCACAACAAAATTCTAATCAACCACAACAAAATCCAAATCAACCACAACAAAATCCAAACCAACCACAACAAAATCCAAACCGACCACAACAAAATCCAAACCAACCACAACTGAACCCAAATCAACCTCAGCTTCATCAAAATCAAAATCAATACCAACCACAACAAAATCAACACCAACCACAACAAAATCAACACCAACCACAACAAAATCCAAACCAACCACAACTGAACCCAAATCAACCTCAGCTTCATCAACATCAAAATCAATACCAACCACAACAAAATCAACACCAACCGCAGTCTAATCAAAACCAACCACAGTCTAATCAATACCAACCACAACCTAATCTAAACCAACCACAGCAAAATACAAATCAACCACAGCCACATCAACATCAATACCAACCACAACAAAATCCAAACCAACCGCAACAACATCAACATCAACACCAACCACAACAATATCAATACCAACCACAAAAACATCAACATGAACAACAATTAAAAGAAACTGTAGTAACAACGGCACCTATATCTACGGCAACCCGAAAACCTTGATTTTAACTTATTCCAATTATGATTGGTATATTTGTGTACGAAATAGAGTTAAAATTACTGTTATTTATTCCACATGGTAATTACAAACTAAGCGAGGAAAAAAAGTATATGTAATAACGGTTATTTTTTTCAGTCATTAAATTATTATTTACAAGTCAAACATTATGTTTATATTCAAAAAAGATGAATTCATATTTATGTTGATAATATATACTTACCTACGTAAATATTAAAAATGGAAATACATTTTTTATAATAAGTTACTTATTGTGAAAATATTACCTACATGATGCAATAAATT